TTATGCGAGTAATTAGTGGATAAAAATAATTTATCGATTAAAATCCGAGTAAACATTTTATAGTATATAAGTAATAAGAATATATTATATAATTGTTATGAAATGTGACAGATAAATATTTATTCATAGTAAATAATATATAACAAGCAATCATTATCAATATATGAAAACAACAACAATGTGAATCATCAACCTTAATTATTAGATTTTTTTTTMAGTTACTAATTAGAACTCTGAAAATTATTCGAGTTACGATATTAAATTAATTCCATTTAATATTGTATAAATTGAGTGAGTAGAAAAAAGCGTGATATTCTGTTTTGTTTTTTTTTTTGAAACCTTGAAAAACCTTTTTGAAAAATTGAACACCGATTGTAAAACTTGTGTGCATTTCGCTATATTATATTATAGTCATTAATCAGTAATCGACATTGCTGAAAATATTTCAATTTCGTTAGTCTTAAAATCATCGATAAAAAATATATTACCTCCATTATTTCTTTTCAAACTTAAGAATTGAGAGTTTTATATAGCAACAATATATTTTAAATTTTAATACCACAATTTGAATGGTTTATACGATACAGACACATGTGAAAATCATCAAAAACATGTACCTAAGTACAATATTATTATAAATAAGGCTATTATTTTATTGTTCATGCGTTGTGTACCTATACGTAACCAAATTGTTGGTTCAACGATTAAAATAATTATTAACTATAATAAAATAAGTAAGCCTATACAGGCTATACATGAAATACATTCAACAATGTTTAGGGGAGGCGATTGCTCCTATAACCCCCCTCCTCTTGTACACACCCTTGCAGCCAGTGCACCTTCGCGAAGTGTGTTTATTAGAAAATATGACAATCGTAGAGTTTTATGGTTACACAGTTAAAGAACACACTTGCATAGTATTTGTATACTATACAGTGTACAGCTAAACGTACAGTGTAAAATTTCTCGTGCTTATCGCTGCGACAATATTATTATTCGTCAGCTGAATTTGAACAATTATTTGAAATTATAACTGTCCGTAAATCATCAACCATTGACATATTTTATCATTCAATATACAGGGTGATTCTTTTATCAAACAACACTCATTATTTCAAAAACTATTGAATTTTTTCAAGTTTTTTTTTTTCAACATTTTGGAACCATCTTGTTCTAGAACTATATATTTTTTAAATATTTTCACCCTTATATTTATCAGGTTAACCATTATCAACTTTTGATTTTCAAATGAMAACCTATACTTAAAATTTGATAAACTAAAAAGGCTATTTTTTCAATGAATTTTCACGTTTAAATTTTCATTTTTCGTCAATTCGTTTACAAGATATATCCTCCCAAAGTTGGGTGGTTTTGGGTGGTGTTTGTGTGTTATAGGTGTATGTTAGGTGGTATTTACACACAAACACCATATAAGTGTTTTTTGATAAAAGAATCACCCTGTATAAATTAACTTTTTTTTGTCAAAAGTTTACAACATCTTAATTTCAAACAAAAATCAAGATTATTTTATTTTTGTTATAGCATGCATAATAGAATGCAATGTTGCTGTATCCCTCAAAAAGTAATTCTAACAATTTAATTGTATGCATCTAAGTTATAAATAAGTAACTAAGTAATGCATTTTATAAAATATAATATACGTATGAAAATCTAAAAACCATGTGTTTTTCTTAAAATTGACAAAATATGCATTTTAAATTTTCGATCTTTAAACTCAGCATTGTTTACTAAAAATCGATAGTAAAATATAGAACAACATGCTACTCTAACGAAATATTCAAGCCCTGGTTATMACATTTAATATTGARTATACTTTTGAGTTAATTATCTTAGAATTGCACTTAAACCTTGTTTTCGGTTTTTATGTGGTTTATGATTGATTGTCGTATAGATAATAGTCGTATTCATTGTTTTGGACTTAAGTCGATACAAACTGATAATTTAATGTCGTAAAAATAATTGGATAAAAAAATTAYTATCAAACGAGTGAAACAAGCGTTGGAGCTGATATAAAATCAACCACAGAACAAAAATTTACTTTTTAATTTTTATTTCCAAAGTTCCTAATTTACCGGGTATATACTATTTTATGAAAAATAAACTAAGTTTCCACAAAATATAATACCCTAAAAATGTCCACCAATTACATATGTTTAAGGGGAGGAGGCATTTTATACRCCCACRGGCCACGATATATTACCGTTATAAGGATTCACCAAGGCTGGTGAAATTTACATCGTCAAAACTCTATAAATACGTCTCCTGCAGCAAGATAACATGTAATAGTTTCAGAACGACCGTGATGGTATAATGACAACGTACGGATGTTGGATGCCAGCACTCTAGTGAATACCACAAGTATTGGATGTCTATAATACAAGGTGTGTGCATAATGACATTATACTAGTTGAGCTTGGTGATGGGGTGGCACGCGCGCGCGACGAGCCAATTTCACGGGCCACCGCGCGCCGGCCATGCAATAACAATAACGGTGGCGATGTTTCTTTTCAGAGTTTTTTTCATACTCATATACATAATCGACGGGGACGCCCGTGGCAATATTCACAAGTGTGCACGATCGCAATCGTCATCATCCTTCCCTGTAGATCTCAACCCGTCTTTCCGTACTTTTCGTCCCGCATCGATCTTTTGACGATGTATACAATATAYATTAATATAGTACTGTCAAGCTTACAGTTATTTTATTATTGTTATTATTGGTTAATACAGATATTAAGTAAGTCGTCAAAGTTAGCTTTTTTTTTATTAATCTCGCTCAAGTCAAAAGTCAGTATAACATTGTATA